AACAACAGCTAGCACCCCCTTTTATAAAGTGTAGATAGGTACAGTAATACCAAAGGCTAGAGAGAAAGAGGATAAACTATAGGTCTAACTACAGGCTGAGTTTAAGTCCTACATAGGCCCCTCCTTAAACTAGGCCTAGGTCCCAGGGTCCTAGGCTGACATCAACAGTCACGCTTCACATACAGACGTTGATTGAAATTTTGAAAAAAAATTGAAGCATGAAATAAAAAGAGTGCATAAGAGAAATATTATTAAATAAATAAAATATACCATTCCGGCGTTATTGAACTTAGCCAAACTATAATAATAATAATAATAATAATAATAATAATAATAATAATAATAATAATAATAATAATAATAATAATAATAATAATTTCAGCATTAATTACCTTGACCTAAGGCTGGTAATGAAGATTATACAGATAGGCTACTATTTACTAGGCCTACAGTATAATTAATAACTAGCCCAAGGGGAATATCTTTTGTGTTATTTCCCCTTAACGTCGATTTTTTAATTGTTTAATTCCTCCATTGTCTAAGTTCCCCTTAAGGTACAGGTTGGTTTTAGTAATATAATAATAAATAATAATAATAATAATAATAATAATAATAATTCAATTCAGTATAAAGTTTATTTCCACATCATCAACACAAAATACATAGACGGAGAAATACATAAGCAAAAACAATAATTGATAAAAATGTAGGCCCATCAGAGGTAATAAATAATCATTTCGGCATTACATGTAATTAACTTGGTCTAGCCTTGTAATCAAGAACTTGCAGATTACTATGCCTAATATTAATAACTAGGCTTAGGCCTCATTTATACATTCATTTGGTGTTTTGCCATTTTGGCAGGTCTTATGGCATCCAGTATTTTAGAGCTGCCTATTCTCAACTCTTCTCTTGATTTGAAAATAACTGTCACCCTGTTTCATTTGATGAAGAAACGCGCTTTTCCTTACTCTCTGTGCTTTCCCCAGAAAGCGTATATTTTTAGTAGTTAGTAGGCCAAATGTAATTATACAAAACCCAGACCTAAAGTATAAAAATAAAACTTGTTACAGTATGTAACTCAAGTTAAAATAACACTTTTCATTACTTGTGCAGCTCAATCAAATATTATATGTAATTTTAAACGACCCATTAGTATTAGCATGGTAACATCAATGTATTTTTAAAAATTAGACAGCGACGTTCTCTCAGAAGTTGTTTTGTAGACGTTTATCTGTTGATGACCTTTTGACCTCCCGAATTTTGCAATTATGAGATTTTCGGGTCGATTCAGTCGAGACTGCCCGAGTGGAGTTTCATGTAAATGTTTCGTACGGAAATAAAAATCGCGATCCGGGGGTAATAATGTTTAAGCGCTTCGAGGTTGTGTTAACGGGAGGCGCTATATAAATCCAGAATTATTATTATTATTATTGTGTGCATATTATGGAGACCTCTATGCGCTTAACATAAACATGAAAAACGTACCAAAAAGTGTTACTTAAACAAACCAATCATATTCCTTAAATGAACTAATTAATAATTGATAATAATAATATTTATTTAATAATAATTAATATTCAGTTTGTTAGCTGAGAACCATTAATTAAGCTCTCTATTCATATGTTACATGCAGTAGTGACATAGCAGCGAACACGTCTGATTTAATGCAAACATCTATCAAGGAGAGAAAGTACTAAAATTGGCCTATAGTTAGATGGCTCTCTTTGATCTCCATCCAAAAAATATGTTTGCTTTTTTTTCGAATAATTTCTGAAAATATCCCGATTGTGAGTGATAAGTTAACTAGACAAGTGATGGGATATACTGTTGTTTCAATTCATTCAATCTTTATTGTCAAAAACAGTAAAATATACGGTTTGAAATTCCGGTTGTATGTTCACAGATTAAAAATGAAATTCTTATCGATAAAATCACATACTAAAACACTCTAAAATCACATCAACAAATATTAAAATATGATTATAATCATCCTTAGGCTACTTATTAACATGTACTGTGCACTGTTTACATGTTCAGTCCAGCTTCCACTGTTTCTTCTCCTTCTACTTTGACATAGGTACGTCTTGTATACCGTGGATTTGGCTCGTTTATTTCCCTTGAACAGATTATCCTGTAACTCCTGTACCCGTATCGTATGCAATGTGTGGTAAGAGCTACCGTTAATGATAAAATCATAATCAGCAGAATAATGTTTTTGAAGGCAGTGCTTTCAAATATGATTCCCAATACTCCACACAATATTATAGTAATAGTTATAATAGTGAAAAGAAGCCGTGACCTTTTGTTTAGCCAAGAGCATTTGCTGCCTGAAACTGATAATTTAATTTGAAAAAATGTTAATTAATAGCCTAATTAGTGAGATAATATTATTAGACATGATGATGAAGTTTTATCAGAGAATATCTTACTTTACAATGCAATACCGTTTTAAATACTTTAAAAT